CCTCGACTGGCTGGGCTCCGGCGATCCTTCCGCCTCAGCATCCAAGTAGCTGGAACTACAGGCACGCACTACCATGCCCAGCTGATTTTTGATTTATTGTAGAGATGAGGTCTTGCCAAGTTGCCCAGGCGGGTCTCGAACCCACGGGCTCAGGCTCCCAAAAGTGCGGGATTACAGGCTGAGCCACCGAGCCCGGCTTTTACTGGCTAAATGATGATGTCCTATAAGAGTGTTTTATGTGTGGCTTAACCCCAGATGTTCTTTGGTAAGAACAGAAAAGATTTGAGTCCTGGATTTGAGTCCAGGCCCACAAGATCGGGTGCAAAAGCCTGCAATCATTCTCTTTGCTACTCCATACTGTGTAACAGATTTCCTGCCTTCGAGCATGCCTTGCATGCTAGATATTAAAAGATAATCACAGAACTTTTACATGCTTAAGCAAGTATGGCATAGTGATTAAGAGCATGGCCTCTGGAAGCCACAAGATCTGAGGTAAAATCTGGTTCTGCCCCTTCCTTGGTGTGACCATGGGCAAATTCTTTTATGTCTTTGTGCCTTACATTCCTAATGTGTAAAATGAGGATAATGTTAGTAACAGCTTCCTAGGGTTTTTGTGAGGATTCAATGAGTTATTCTTGTAAAGTATTTAGCAGAATGCCTGGCACATTCTATAGGTGTTAGCTCTAGTTATACTTATTATGATTGCTGCTATTTTCTTGAAGTTAACAGAATTTTATACTTTAAAAAATTTTATGCTTGTGATATTGGTCCAAATTTTTTTTTGTAGTAGTGTAGTCTTATGGAAGGTTATCTTACTGTTTTTATTTTTTTGAGTTGGAGTCTCACTGTGCTGCTCAAGCTGGAGTGCAGAGGTATGCTCATGGTCACCACAGCCACAACCTGCTGGGCTCAGGTGATCCTTCTGCCTCATACTTCCAAGTGGCTGAAACCACAGGGGTGCACCTCCATGTCCAGCCAATTTTTTTAAATTGTAGAAACGAGGTCTCACCAAGTTGCCCATGCTGGTCTTGAACCCTTGGACTCAGGCAGTCCTCTTGCTTCTGTCTCCTAAAGTGCTGGGATTACAGGTGTAAACCACCTCACCTGGCTGGAATTGCTAATTCTTTTTTTTTTTTTCCTTGAGCCAGAGTCTCACTCTGTTGCCCAGGCTGGAGTGCAGTGGCACACTCACGGACATTGCAGCCTTGACCTGCTGGACTCAGATGGTCCTTCCGCCTCAGCCTTCTAAGCAGCTGGAACCACAGGTATGTGCCACCATGCCCAGCTAATTTTTTGATTTATTGTAGAGATGAGGTCTTGACAAGTTGCTCAGGCTGGTCTCGAACCGCTGGGCTCAGACAATCCTCTTGCCTCCGCCTCGCAAAGTATTGGAATTAGAGGCATGAGCCATCCTGCCCGGTCTATCTTACTATTACAATTTATCTTATATTTTTAAATTGTATCTTAATAATATATTTTAGCCGGGCTTGGTGGCTCAGCCTGTAATCCCGTGCTTTGGGAGCCTGACATGAGTGAATTGCCTGAGCCCATGGGTTCGAGACCTGCCTGGGCAACTTGG